TGCAAGTGTTGAGCAGTGACTTTCGAGAGATGGTAAGAACAGATTAATGCCGTTATCATGGGAGTGAGTTAGCTGTCAAGGGACTTGAGTTCTTCATAAAAGAACGAGTTGTCCTTTCCCACACTTCTGGGCATGTAAGTGCCCTCCATCTTCCACCCCAGGAAGGTTTCTGGCTCCTCAGCCTCAGACTTCCCAGTCCTCAGAAATGGAACAAGTTTTGTTCTTTGTGCTTCATCCAGTCCCTGGTGTCCTGTGTAGCAGCACAAATTGGGCAAAGACCAGACGCCAGAATCCATCCTCGCAGGTGTTGATGCCTTTCACAGGTGCGACAAGGACCAGTATGGGGAGGTCGGCAGAGGCGAGGGAGCGGAGCATCCTAGAACCCAAGGTGGGGGGCTGAGGGTGATTGATGGGCAGCTGCAAGGCACCCGAGGGTCAGGGAGGAACTCTCAGATGCAGCAGTTTTACCTTTTCTGACTACTAGGAGGTAATCTTGTTCAGAACATAGGGTCAGAACCAGACATCCAGAAGCTGAAGAGGATGCAGCCAAATAAAACTAGTGAATAGAGCTGATTTTCAACAAATACTCCCGAGCGCATGTTATGGGGGGGGTACTTTCCCCTTTCAATCATTGAGTCTCCTGTTTAACCCTTCAAATAAGACCTGAAGCCCATTTCATGGATGAGGAAATGGAGTTCGCAGTGTTGAGGGTGGCAGGCTGGACCGCCAGCCATGGAAGGAAAGAGATACATGGTAGACACTGATGGAGAACTGGATATAGAGCTGTTGTTTATTGGATATCTGCTGAGTGCGTGTCTTGAAAATTACTAGCCATGTGCCTATTAACTCTTCTGTGTTCCAGTTTCCTCGGCTAAACAATGTGAGTACTTTTAGCGTAACCCCACAGGCTTTCTATGAGGGTCTAATTAATTACGCTAGGTGCAATAAAAAGCACGGTGAGTGTTTACATCAAAACATTTAAGAATTTATTACAGGAAGAGTCACATTGCCAGTAATGTCCCGCAAAATGCTTCTTTTCCTTTGAATACACTTATCCCATCGTTTTGATACTGTCAGAAGCAGTCCTGGAAATCTTTTGCGGTTGTCTTTAGTTGCACTGTCACGGCTACCTTGAGGTTCTAAATCGATTAAAAACTATTTATGGCAATTTCTGTCAGATAAGAGCATTGTGGTGTGACCTCATCTACCTTATTGACTGAATCTTGTGCTGTGTGACTTCTGGCTTGTCCCAAAGGCAAAATGACCGTGAAAAGTGAATGTCTGAGTCCGTTTGGGACATTGAGGTGTGCAGCACGGTGGGGACAGAGGGGACTCTGGGTTTGAAATTGGGTTCTGTGCATTTCTGCTTGTGTGGCCTTTCTCAGAGCTACAGGTTCTTCCTTTGCACAGCAAGGTTAATAGCGCCTCTCTCACAGCATGCTGGGGCAGATACAATGAAACCACGTTCGTAAGTGTGGATGGAATGTCGCAGATGTCAAAGACAGACATTAACAATGGCAAATTCAGGGCTTAGGATCCCCTGGTTTCCTAATGCAGGTCACGCTGTTGTGTCCCTGGGCACCTTGCTCCTTCCCATGGGAAGACTGATAAGATCTGGCTGTGTTTTTCCTACACCTGGGATTCTGGGTTTGGACTAGGTTCAGTCTGAGTCTTAGAAAGACAGGGTTTTCACAATGATTGTTGGTGGTCTAATGTTTCCCACATGTGGCGTATTGTTCCAGATTCTCCAGGGTCAGGAATACCTCAGAGGAGGTCCATGACTTTATGGGAAATTGCTGCTTGAGACAGTGTAGCTTTGTAGAACAGTCGAAGCTCTGAGGGTATTGTTAATTAATAACTCTGAGGTTATTAATTCGAAGCTCAGCCCTTATATACATTGTTCCACCAAAAGGGCAGCTTATGGCCCTCTGGGGAGAAAAGTACACACCGTGATACTTTCTTTTTCTTTTTAAATTAACGAAACCATCCTGTACTACTCATGTAGCCCAGGATAGCAAGTTCCTCAAAGGGCGGCCTACCACGGGACCCGGAGGAGCTGTCCACGGTGCTGAAACACGCACGGCCCTCCTTCTGTCTCTGGGAGGGGACCTGCCTGCCTCTGGGTCCAGCTCAGTGTCTCCACTCTGGGAAACTGATGATTTCACTTCTCCATGAAGCAATGTGCAGGTCGTGACATACGTCCTCTATGTTAAAAAGTAACCTTCAATCACTTGGCCTCGATCCTGGTCTCTTTCCTTTACCAACAACTCCTATAATTAGCTCTGGTTGGAAAATGAGTGGGCAGTTGGAATCATTGGCTTGGTTCCCACCTTTTCATTCCAAACCCCATGCAGTGCCCAGCTATGTTCCGCGGCACACGTTAGCAGATTTCAAACTATCTTAAAAGAAGCCGGGCATGGTGGCACACGCCTGTCATCCCAGCACTCGGGAGGCTGAGGCAGGAGGATTGCTCTGAGTTCGAGACCAGCCTGGGCTACATAGTGAGTTCCAGGGGAGTCTCAACTACATAGTGAGACCCTGTCTCAAAACAAAACAAAATGAAACAAAACAAACTATCTTCAAAGAGAACAGTAGTATTTCTGACAGAAGAGCCAGAGGGTAGGTAGCAAAAAGATCCGGTTGGGCTGGCATCAGTATCAATCAGAGAAGCACCTGGACAAGTTGCTTAACTTCTCTGGGCTGGAAAATGTTTACTTCCTGCGAGGGCTCTCCCACAACCTCTGGGAAGCCTTCAGTGCCACCTTCGACCCTCAATGAAGTCTTCTTCTCGGTCACTGTTTTGTCTTGGCCATCTCTAGGCTCCCCAGGTCTACAGTGACTCCGTTACTCAATCTACTACTTTGCCAAAAAATATGCTTTTGACTGGAATCAAATGAATGCAGTGGATGGGACCCTGAGTTAGCAGTCACAACCACATGGATCTGCTCTGACTGTCCTGACACTTTGTGCACAGCCCTAGAAAACCTCTTCCCTACCCTGAAGGCTCAGTTTTGCCCTAAAAGATGGTGAGGTTGCATTTGGTGAATTTTAAGGCTATTTCCAGCTTTTTATTTAATGCTTATTCAATGAATACATAGTAAGCACCTATTATTTGCTAAGGACTGGGAATCCTGCTAAAAACAAAGCATGCTCTTCACCCTGAAGAGCTCTTATTTCTGTGGAATAGAGAGGAAAATTACAGTGCCTGTTGTACAATGTCAGTTACAGTGCCACGTGGTCTGGTAAGCCTTATAATTGTCACTGTGGCTCGTTCAGGTGGCTGCAGCAGCTCAGAGTATAAGAGGCAAACTCTAACCCAGCCTGGAAGGCTTCCTGGAGGAGGTGATTTTTAAGATAATGCTTAAGAGAGGAATAACAGGACTTAGAGGAGAGTTTGAAGTACATTCTCAATGAAAAAAAATTCTTTTGGTGGCTTACCTATATAGAAGGAAGTGTGTATTTGTGAAATCATTGCTGAAGCCTGAAATGTGTGTTTTGGTTTTCTTGTTTGTTTGTTTGTTTGTTTGTTTGAGACAAGGTCTCACTATGTAATTCAGGCTGGCCTTGAACTCACTACGTAGTCCAGGCTGGTTTCAAACATGCAAAGTCCTCTTGCCTCAGCCTCCCAAGTGCTAGGATTCCAGGCGTGCACCATCATGCCCAGCTTTTTATGTTCAAAAAGGGAGTACAGTTGGCAAAAATCCAGGATAAAAATCTAAACAAGGACCAGCAGTGTCATGGGCCACAAAGAAGCGTTTACCTTTATCCCAAGGGAGATGTTGAGGAGTTCATTCAGGAGAAAGATGTGGCCAGGTTGCAGTGTAGACAGCACATCTGGCTGCGTGCTGGATTGCAGGAAGGTGAAGGATGGATCTGGAAGGCCCAGGAGGGGCCATGCGGTCAGATTCCAGGCAGGAGCGGGGGTGTCTGGTACCCAGGTAGTGCAGTAGCGATGGATGGAGCGAAATGGGTAAAGCTGAGAGAAAGCGGCAAGGCTGTTGCTGAGTGCAGGTGACGTGAGAAGACACCATCAAGCCCAACTCCTGTCCATGGAACACCTGGATGTCTGGATGGGGCGGGGACATGGCAGTGGAAACAGGGAGACACCTTCCATGTGGGGGCTGTGACTGCGTGCGGAGCTCAGAGCGCAGGTCTTGGTGTGAGGCAGAGGCTGGTGTCAAGGACCAAGAAGCCCTGGCTGCTGTTTTACTCTATTCCCCGAAGGGTCTTTCCCTTTACTGAAATCTTTCAGCTTGTTGGTGCCACACAATTAGGCACTTAATTGCTTGTGTTTTTTTGTTTTGTTCTGATGGTACTGGGGATCGAACTTGGGCCCTCGTGCTTGTGAGGCAGGCGGTGGAACCATGGAGCTAAATCCCGGGCCCCTTAATTGCTTTCTAATTGATATGTGCCTTAGCCTGTCTCGCCAGACACATATGCAGCTCCTCGAGGGCAGAGGCCTCCTAAAATGCCTTTCCCAAGCCTCCCCCAGGCTCCACAGGAGACTGAAGCCTCTCCGCAATAGAGGAGGGAGGAATCGTTAGAGGGTCCGTCCCCAAGAGCCACTCTGGACCGCACTTTCCCATCGGTGCAACGGGCATCCCGCCTTTGGTCACCCTCCTGTCTTTCCGAAGGGTTCCAGGTGCTCATTTCCCAGAGGGCTGTGGGGAAGGGACGGCATGGCTCGTGAGACATCCGAGATGCGCTCTTCTGGACTGGCTGTGTTGAGGCAGGAAATAGAAATTTTAAAAAAGAAATAAACAAGAGTGAGGCAAATTGTTTGTTTCAAATAGTAGCAGGCACTCAGCAAACAAGCAAGCCTAACTGAATGCTTTGGCGATTATACAGACAAACAAATCACTTTCCCAAAGTGCTTCTTGGGGGAATTACGGCTCCTGGAAATGAAACACAAACAGATTATTAAAAAAGAGCTCCCCGTTGGGAGAGAAACAGTATTTACAAGAGAAGATGTGCCTAGCTGGACCTCTAATTGCCGTTCATTATCTCATATTGATTTAATTAGCTGCAGCACTCAGGTCTGAATCGCCTGCTGCCCGCAGCAGGGGCCCGGCGGGGAGAGGAGGTTCACACTGACCACGCAGCCTCTCCCATCGCTCACCCTGGCCTGCTTTCCCTGGAACACGGGTCAGCTCACGGGCCGTCCTTGTGGCAGCGAGGTGGTGGCCGTTGGCCGAAGGCGGCCCAGCCACATCCGCTGCCTCATGGGCAGCTCTGTCTCGCACACGCGTCCGCTGGGGTGGCAGCGCGAGCTAATTAGCCGCAGTAATTAGAGAGAGTGTCTTCATAATGCGGAATTAGAGTGGCTTGGTGAAAGCAGGGAGATATATGGCGCAGGCTGGCGGTGGTGATGGAGGAGAAGCGAGCGGGGAGAGGACGAGGCTGCTCCCAGGTGTCCTTTGGCCTCCCGCTGTGACCCTTCCGCCCCTCCTCAGGGTCCCCACTCTGGTGTCAAGCGATTCAGCCATTTATGGCCTCCCCATCCCTCAGTGACCCAGAGACCTCCAACAGAGCAGATATTTCCAGACAGGAAGGTGTGTGATTAGCTGTTCTCTCTAGTGGGCGTCTGGGACCAATTGTTTTGAAGATTTGGGGTTTATAATTGCGAGTGATTAATGGGGGAGTTGGCAATCAGGCTTAAAAGGTTGCTAATTGCTCTTTTAACAGAACTGTGTCCGAGAGCAGCCTGGTGCCCTGGCTTCTGCAGAGAGCACATGGAGGGGCCCTAAGAGTCTCTGTCTCCCGCTGTCCCCCCTCCTTGCCCCCGTCCAACACGTGGTGAGTCTGTGTTGTGCTGGGCTCCTAGGGCGCTGGGGATGCAGCTGGAAGAGAGACAGAGCCCTGCCCTCGAGGGGCATCCCGTCTGGGCCTGTTTGGCTGGACTTGCTTGGACCCAGAAGTCCAGACCAACTCAGCAGCCCTCCAGGAAAGCTTGACTCACATTTCCATTGCAACGCTCACCAGCCGTCTCACGTGCGGGTTCTTCTTCCCCGCCAGCGAGGCCACCTGTAGTGGCGACCAGGGCACGGGCATCGTCTCCCGGAGGAGGAAGTGAGCTCACATAGCACTGAGCGCTAAGGCTCCTTAGGTGAAGCTACGGAGCATCACTTTCTAGCATTATTGTGTTTCCAACTAGCAAGAGGGGCTGCCTTGGGTGAGTAGCAGGGGGAAGGGAAGGGGCAGGCAAAAAAGAAAACCCTCAACTCTCAAGGTGCTGGCAGGCGATGGGAGGAGGCCTTCGGGGGCCACCCAACCCCGCACGCCCGTCTCTTGCTGGTCCTGGGCTATAAAAGAAATCAGCCCCACAGAGCTCTGATTGAATTAGCTCATGATGCCCTATTGATCACTGGCTTCCAGCCTGGCCACTGAGGAAGGAGGTCTGCCCATCGCCCCCTCGCTCACGGGAAGGGAAGGCGGGAGCTGACCTTGACTTGTGTATTCGAGCCGGCTGGAGAGTGCTGGCTCCTCCCTCCTGAGCACACGTGTGAGTCTGGACGCGTCTGCCTTCGGTGTGCTCTGCAGCAAGGCTCTCACCCCTCCCAGCCCAGGCCCCACTCCGCACTGCCTCCTTTCCAGTGGAATTAGCCGTGACACTGCTTTTGATGGAAAACGTATTTGCTTTCTTTCTGGTGCTAAGTGTTCCTCCATCTGGAGTAATACTTCGCTAATTCAGGGGCTGCCCACCTCTTTGGAAGCAGCTATCATCTTGTTCTGCTGCATCTAGGGTGCTGGATTTTAGGGGACCCAGTCACCTTGGGTGCCTGGCAGTGCTTCTCCCTCACCCTCCAGTGTACCTTGTTGCCGCCCGTCCCTCCTCCTACCTCTCTGCCCCTTTGTCTCTCTCCTTTTCTCTTGGGCCTCTTTTTACTCATCCTCCCCTCCTTTCCCTTGCTAGTTTAAATGTGAGGACCTGATGAGAGAGAGACCATTCCAATACAACTCAGAGGGCAGCCAGGTACCTTCTGATTGACTCCAGCACGGTTGTGACTTAATCTTTATCTTTCTCCCCAGGAACCATTAATCCATGGTTTCCCCAAATCTGAAGTCCACTTTGCGTCTCAGTGATCTGTGGTCAGCGGAGGGAAAAAGAGAGGCCTGTTATCAAGTTAGGAAACGGCATGTGTTATGCAAAACACACTGGAAAATCAAAGGCTCTGAGAAGATCTGCAGTCACTAAATCTACTAGATTTTGTTTCATCTAAAGATTTCTGAACTTACTTTTTCACATGCTACACAAAACTAATTTACTCAGAATTACTAATTCCGTCTGACAGTCTCAGAGTCTCTCTCTCCCACCCTTCTTTCTTTATCAATACAAAAGCTGCAGTTTTAAAAAGATCCTTTCCATGTTCTGACTTAGATGTGCCAAGTTGCTAAGGAGAAACTAATTCTGATGTGCCCAGAGACTCTACTGGTGAAATCTCATAGTTGTCTTCTCTCCCGGGTTTGCATCTGAGGTGGCTCTATGAACTGTGTAGGTTGTTTTGCAGGAAGATTCAAGTTCGAATCCCTGATCCCTCTTTTGGTGACCAAGTCTCCCCGGGGCCCTGCCAAAACTCTGTGGCTCAATGTACCTGCGAAATAAGATATGGGCACCTGTCCCACCTGATCATACAAGAGTTCATCACGATACTATAAATGAAATGGGGCCACTGGTAGGTGCTTGGTATGTTCTGGGTTTGTGTGTTTGTTGAGGAGTATGTCAGTCACATAATAAAATTAACCATTTAAGTTATACGGATCAGTAGCCTTTACTGTAGCGGCAGTGTTGTTTGGCGCCCGTTACCTCTATCTAGTTCCAAGATGGTTTAATCACCCCAGAAGGAAACCTCCAGAACACTCAGCAGCAGCCACCATTCCCCTCCCTCACACCCTAGTGGTCACCGTTCTGCTCTCGGTGTCTATAGATGTGTGTATTCCAGGAATTTCTTAGGAATGGAGAATAACCATGTATGGTCTTTTGTATCCGCTTTCACTTAGTGTGATGTCTTCAGTGTTCATCTTATGTGTCATGGATTAGTGCTTTCTCCCTCTTCGTGGCTCAGTACTATTCCATTATATGCCAGGCTGCACTTTTATTTGTTCATTCAGCCCCTTGTGCATTATCTAGTGAAATTCTTGAAGGTCCTCTTTTCTCTCCTTTGGATAAAAGGCCAAATTTTACTTACACCAGTTTTTGTCATAAGCCAATCCACACGAGGAGCTCAGAGCAGCAGAGAGGCCTCCAACCCCAAGTAGGTGAGAAGCTGGGTTACTCTGTTTTGTCACCATAGAGAAAACAGCCGAGATTCTGGATTAATTGCTCTCTTCATTACTGGTTCATCATATCCAACACCTGCTACGGAAAAGAGGGGCAATTTATTTTGGCTCCCACCTTCAGAGTCCTCAGTCTGTGTCCAGGAAGCATTAACTCAGAAGCCGCACGGTGAGTGGGACTGCAGCAGAAAAGTTGCTGGCATCCTGGGGACCAGGCAGCAGAGAGAGAAGGGAGGGGACAAAGAAGGAGAATGGCCCGGGCCTGGCCTCCTGGGCCTCCTGGGCCTCCTGGGCCTCCTGGGCCAGGCCGTACCTCCCAACAGCTGAGCCAGCCCTCTTCCGGAAGGAAGCTCTGCTCAGGGGTGCACAGGGCCCTTGGGGGACCCTCCTAATGGGAAGCACAACAGATGACCAGAGGGCTCCTCTGAAGTACGCGTCCCAGCTGGCACTTCCTGCCCCTCCCTCTGCTTCTTCAGCTGATGGTGACCACCTCCTGCACGCGGTGAGCAGCCTGAACACAGAACAGCATGGGATTTTGTTCACCAGCAGAGCCTCACGTTCCTGGGGAAGTCTTCCCTGAGTGCTCCATTGTCCGTCCATCCATCCATCCATCCGTCCGTCCGTCCTTTCATCTGTCCACCATTTCATCTGGCGTCTGACAACGTCATGGTAATATAAATGAAATTTATATTTCATATGGCTATGCTAGTTTGCCAAATATCCTACTTAGTACTGGGGGCACCAAAGTGAAGTTGGACTGGACGCTTAGAAAAAGAACAAGACAGATTTCGTTGGCTGTACTGAAGCGGAGAAGAGTGACTTTAGCAGTGATCTGAATATAGCCGAGACAGCTGAGGATTTATGGCCGATGGGCAAGGGAGGGAATCAGTGGATGGAAAATTACTGAGAGGAAATTTTTTAATAGTGAATATTAGTTATACAGAATAATGGGATTCATTTTGGCATATTCCTGCAGGTGTACAGCAAGAGGAACTTGATTAGATCTCAAGGGTGGAGGGGACTCTTGCTAACCCGAATTAGCAGGATTCTTTGCTAAGCCTGGGCTTGGCAGACCAAGCCGATCTGATCAGAAAGAGGATTTACAGTAACCTGGCTAGACTTTGCTTAAAGGCAGGAAGGAGTCCTTGTTGGAAGGAGGGCTAAATTTCTAGAAAAGCAAACTAAAGTCCAGAGAAGATCTAAGGCTACAGAGTAGTACAGTGGATTATCAACAGGTCTCTAAGATTTTCTGAGCGTTCCTTTCATAGTTTTTGATGCCCCTGAGCAAGGGGAGAAATCCTGGAAGGCTCTCAAGAAGGGGTGACTTTTCAGTAGGAATCCAACGCACAAAGGGCCTGCCAGGGTCTTCCCTGGGGCCTGGTCCCAGCTTCCCTTGCATTCATCACATCCATTTTTTTTAGAGGGAACAGGAAGCTGAGGGTGCAGACATACACTGGAAAAAACGGGGGCAGAGAAATGAATAAACAGATCAACCCGCGCTAAGAGCTAAGAGCGTATGAGGTATGAGTCACCATCGCACAGCAGGAATTAGAAAGGACAGGAAGAAGCTGCTAGAGGAAAAAGAAAACAACCTAGGGTAACTCTTCTAGCAATTGTCACGTAGATGAGTTCTCTTTCACAGCCCCCTGGGAGAATATTGTTAGGGCAGAAATGGAGACCTGACTTCCTGGTCTGGGCTGAGCCGGCGCGTGCTCTGAGTAGGTGTCCGTGAGTCTGCTAGGGCTGCCTCCTTGGCACATTCCTGAAGACTCGCAGCCAATCTATAAGGCAGCTAGGATTGTGGGTTCCATCGTACAGATGCGGAAACCAAGGCTCAGACTTGCGACGGAAGCCCAGAGCTGAGTCCGGTGTCCAAGCCATCGTCTCTTACATGCGTCATTGCCCAGCTTGGAAGGCCGAGGGCTTCAGCTCCCGCAGCTGGAGGAGGTGCAGGGTCACGGCCGCGGGGGCTGTGTGGGAGCACACGCGTGTTCATAGGGTCGGGGGAGGGCTCTCTAGGAGCTAAATTCTCAAGACCCTCAGGAAAGGGTGGCTGAGTAGCGAGGTGCTCACATCAGAGGCCCCGAGTCAAGAGGCCTGGATGGGCTCCCACCACCGCCTGTCCTGGCAAGGCCACCAGAAAGGCTTCCTGGGCTGAGCTCCCCTGCGCATTGCGTGCAGTTAATAGTGAGTGTTTAGTAAAGCAGTCCAAGCACATCCCCAACCATGCTGGCCATGTTCTCTCTCTCTCCTCCACCAGAGCTGCGGAGGCGGCAGGGCCTCTCTTGATTCGTGTTTTGGGTGCACGGGATGTCTGTCCCCAGAGGCAAAGCCGCGTCCACCAGCTTCTAACAGAAGCCTCTTTCTTTCCCCCGAGAGGCTGCGCGACTCCACGCCAAGGTTTTGCTGATTTAGGAACTCGCTGTGTCTGTCCCCTGTGCAGCACCGCACATTCTGAGCAGGTCCTCCTGGCCCACAAGCCCTTAATCACCCTCTGTAATTAAATAAAACAGCAACCCGTAATTAGGGCATCGATTTGTTGGTTTGTCTCCCTCTAGCCCAAGAGCTCCATGAGGGTGAGGACTGTGTCTCTTTCCACTCACAGAGGGGTCCCCAGTGCCCGGCTCACAGAAGACTCAATAAATGTAGGCTGAGCACAAGGGAGGGCGGAGCTGGAGGTCACGGCCGCGGTTCTCCCAGGGCAGACGCTGAGTTCAAGAGACGGGCTGGCACTTAGCAAGCAAGCTCCGTGCAAGGAGGACGGCGCTGCTGCGGGCTGTGCTTTGGAGCTTAGACAGCGCCTCCCTGAGGAGTGCGGAGGGCGGAGATGGCGGGGTCGTGGTGAAAGCGTGGCCACGCCGAGGGCTCCGAGGAGGGTGCGGCGGGGTGACGGAGATGATGCCGTCTCTTGGGTTTTTCATGTTTCGGTTTCTTTTCGTCAGCATATGCTTGCGATGCGTCCTAAGTGCCTTCATCCCGGGGAGCTGCCCATGAGTCTCTCTCGTCTGGACCCTGTTTACTCTGTCTGCCCCTGCAGCTCTCCTGACCCCCGTGGTCTCCAGGCCCCTTCCTCCTCCTCCTCGCAAATTCTGCTTCTCTGTCTCCTACCACCTCGCTTTCGTTTTGATCTTTAGTTAACTTATATCTTCGGTTTCCCATGTATGAGAAGCCCCGTGCCTCTAGCCTGCTGTGTCTGATTCATTTCACTCAGCACCGTGGTCTCGCGGTCCATCTCTTTTCTGACAGATGACTCACGTTGCCCTCCTTTAGGGCTCAGTAGTACTCCACTGTACCTTACACCCGTCACCACAGCTCTCCACTTCCTCTCTCTGTTTTACTTACGCAGGAACGAGGCTCACAGAATTGCAGTTGCTTAGTGGGTTAGGGCTGATCTGCAGCCTGAGAGCGTGTCTCCCTAACTTCGCTCTTCACCGTGAAACTCTGCACCTTGCTATGCCCAGAGTCCCATTTTGTCCCTTCCAGTATATGACCGGGACGTCTCCGTTACCATCCTTGTACAGAGGAGGAAGAGACTCAGAGGCAAAGGACTTGGCTCAGGTCTTGGGCAATGGGGCCCAAGGCTGGCACGAGACTCCCTGCTGTTCTCATTTCTGTTATTGGCCTTTCCCCGGATAGGGTGGGGCTCAGGAGACCTGCGGGCCTGGAGACAGAGGAGACACAGAGGCAAGATGCTCAGACGGTAACCCGCACCGCCTCTTACTAGCTACGTGAACTTGGCAGGTGTCACTGAGACTCAGGCTTCTCACCCCTAAAATGAGAGCCAAAGGCCTAGCTCGTGAGAATGAGCGTATACTGAGATCATAAACACAGGAGTATTTTATAAACCATTGCGCTGTTAGCTCTGCGCTGATAATGGTGCCCATTCTAGTGTCTTTACAAACCAGTTTCTCCATGCTTTTGACAACCCAGGGAAATTTCTGTGTGGTCAGACTCACATCTCCTGTGTGGCCAGCTCCTTCCCTCCCTCCTTCCTCTCGGTCCCTTCCTTCCTTGAAGTGAGTCACCAATCAAGCCCTTCTAGCTGCTCTTTTCCGTGGTCCCCAAGTAACAACAGGAAAAACTTTATCAAGACACTGGTGAGGCAATGTCCAGCGCCGGACTTCAGCGTGGTGGAGGTGACCAGGAAAAAGCCCCTTGCTCACTGTGCTTTTTGCTCTTGGACTCAGCTTCTGGACCGCACACGTTCATTCACCCCACTTTCAGTCCTGTCCCGGCCTTGCTCTGAACGTTGAGCCCTCTTCCCCGCCGAGGCAGGCTGGCGTCAGCTCTGGGGACAGACAAGCCCAGCCTTATCTGAGAGGAACGATCTCCACACCCATCATCGCCTTCTCCCAGCACATTGTTTTCTTTTTGCAGCATTCACCAATGCAGCTGCAATCACCTAATGAGTTTGTTTTATTTTGTCTTCAGCATAAAACACAAAAACTAGGCTAGTGACCCCAGTGCCTGTGGAAATGACCAGCAAAAATCAAAAATAAAAACAAAAACAAAACCCCACATTTATAAAATATTAGTGGAACAAAGCACCAAACCAATGGCTCGTACCTCCTGTGACTTGGAGAGGCCCCTGCTGCAGTTGGGTTCTGACTCCACTTCAGAGAGGAGACGTCATGTCCCATCTCCAGTTCCCGGTGTCACCCGGTGCCTGATAAATGGCCAGCACTGTGGGAAGGCACCGAATTTTATTTCCCCACCGGTGCTGACCCGGGCACCTTCTGCCAACAGTGGGAGAGCAGCTGAGTCCATCAGAGGAAGGGGCGGGAGGCGATGGGCTGCCCGGGATGACTGTGGCGGGGAAGCCCCATCTTGTTTTTCTCCACTTGTGAAATCTGCTGTCACCCCTTTCTAAAGATGTCATAGAAAGTGTGAAACTACATTTCCCAGATCTGGGGACGCAGTAGTTTGTGCAGTTATAACCCGACACATCACAGAAGTCAGATGGGTGCTCACTGACTGCATAATTCACCACTCATTTTCCGGTCAGGGCCTAAGACTTTTCAGAGCAGCTAGACAAAAAAAAAAAAAAAAAAAAAAAAAA